GAGCTCTTGTAGCAGGTCAGTGAGGCAGCGGTGACATAGATGTCCAGCTGTGCGGGTTGCCTCAGGGTTTCTGCCCGGGCACCTCCGCCTCTCAGGCTGGGGGTCCGCCTGGGGCGCCCGTCTTCCTGCCGAAGGGTGGAGCGTTGGCCTGTGGCTTTTCCCAGCTCAAGGAGGTGACAGTTGTCCAAGCACGACCATTCCCTTGGGAGCCATGGGCAGAGGAAGAAGCATCCAGCGTCTTCGGGATGGGAGCTGCAAGCCCAGATGGTGATCAGGCCGAAAGGAGCTGGGGAGCCAAGGGGAGGAGCAGGGGTGTGGGCTCAGCGCCAGCCTGTGCCCATCCAGCCCTTTCCATCAGCTTCTCTCCATCCTGGGTGAGCCTGCTCAGCCACAAACACTTTCGCCTTGGCCTGGGCACGACAGAGAAACCCAGTGCCCTGCCGTGATCCTGACAGCCGCGGCTGGCTCTCTCCTCTTGGCCGAAATGTTTATCCTTGCAGCGCATGACAGCCCCTGCACGGGCTGTGCACTTTCGGACCAGTGGCCGCCGGGCTCCTGGAGGGAGCAGCTTGCTGGGTGCTGCTGGCAGGAGCCATGTGGCAAGGACACGGTGAGGCTGGGCAGCCAGGGCGCTGGTAAGGAGCCGGAGCCTGCTGTTAAAGAGAGCGCATACCTGGCACCAGACAGGCCATTGGCCAACAGGTCCAGGCAGGACCTGAGGGACACTAACCACACTGGGAATATAGTGGCAGGGAAGCTGGCTTAGCTGGAGGCTCACCAGTATCCACAAAGAGAGGCAGTAGCGTCCCCTAGGATGTTTTTGAGGGCCTGGTTCCAGGCAAAGCCACCCAGGAAGCAGTGAGCAGGGCCAGGAGGGAGCCGGGCACAGCCTTCTTGTCGCCACCCTCAGCCATGCAGCCAGGTCACCTCCCGTGTGCCCCTGGACTCTGCAGTCCCCTCGGGGTCTCTGTGGGAGTTGGGAGGGACCAAAGGGTAGGGATGCTGCAACATCAGAAGGTGACCAGCCAGCTGAGCTGCCTCCTTCCCTCCCAGGGCAGAACTGCCTGGCTAGATCCTCCTTCGGCTCTGGGAAAAAGGGGAAACTGAGGCACGGAGCAGTGGGTGCACAGCTCTGGCCCCTGCTCTGTGGCCAAGCTGCACCACGGCAAAGCTCTGCCATGGTCTCTGGCAACAAGCCCTGGGGCCACCATCCTGCCCCGTGGCACACAGTTCTGGCCACACGGCATCACTCGCGCTCGGTAGCCTGAGGGTGGCTGGCTCGCCTGCCCCATGGCTGGCCCGGGTCGTGTGGGGCACGTTGATTTTGCTATCCTCCCGACCTGGAAGGCTTCTGGCAGCAGCCCACCATGGAGAGTGTATTTCTCAGCTGCTTCTTTGGCCCTGGCAGCCCCTCAGGGGTAGGCTCCATCCCCTCGCAGGCTGAGTCTCTTCAAGCGTGGCCCTACGCAGGGTGCCCAGGCATTGGGCTGGCCTGGGAACAGCCCCTTTTTCAGCCTAGGCAGATCCGGGCAGATCCTGGAGGAGCAGGTATGTGGGCAAAGCCAAGAAATCTTCTGTCTCAGAGCCACGCTGAGGAGACCTGCTGCACGTCCTCTGCCCTGCTTCTACCTGACCATACGGGCCCCAAGGAGGTAGGGAGGGTCTGGCTTGCTGGGGGTACCTCACCCCAGGCACGGAGGGCTGAGCAGCCCAACATGTGATGTCTTGAATGAAAAATTCCGTGCTGAGTTGTGCTGAGAGTGCACCCTGCCCCTTTCCCAGAGCTCCAGGGGGTCTGGCACGCCCTTTGGGGCTGGAGAAGCGCTTCTGCAGAGCGCTTGGGACGGATGTGGGCACAAAGGGCATCAGCAGGCACTGCAGATGCCTCTCAGCGTGAAGTTACTCCATGGAGCAAGGGCAGGGAGGTTTCTTGCACTGTGCGACCGCTGAATGTCCGAGTTCCCCAGGCCTGACCTCCTCCTCTTCTGCCTTCACATCCCGAATGGCTGGAAAGGGAGGATTTTTGTGTGTGACTGCACAGCTGGTCCGTCAGGCTGGAGGGTACCCTGGCAAGTCCTGCACATGCTCCTTGTACCTGCAGAAGCCATCAGAGTAGTCGGGCCACGCCGGCTGGATGCGTTGGACCCAGCACGCACAGACACACTCGGGGCTGAGATTTCCAAAGCCCCATCCGATGCCACAGCGTGCCCAAGGACAGCCTGCACATCGCGCCCAAGATTCAGAATAACGCCCCATGCCTGAGAGGGAAATGCTTTATATGATACAAACCAAGGCAGATTTAAAAATCATCGCCCATAGATGAGAGAGAACGTAACACAGAAAATGGGAAGCGCGTCACAGGACTGCGGTTTGACTCAGCTGCTTTCCGTGACCACGATGCGCAGGAGGTTCTGCTGGGCGGTTCCTGCGGGAGGTCGGGGATCGCTGCCATGGGCAGCACTTGCTCGCGCAAGGGGGCCCGCAGGGCTGGGCAGCGCTGGTGCTTCAGATGCAGTCACTTCGCAGAGGCTGCGGCAGGTCCGACTCACTTATCTGGAGGTTGAGCTCTGTCGAGTTGAGGGTCGTGGATGGGTGGTGCAGGTGGTTCCCCTCGCAGATGGCGTACTCCTCGTGACGCTGCTGCTGGAGGTGCCAGAGGATCTCTCTGGACAAGAAGTGGGTCTCTGCTTCTCCTGACTCTGGAACAGAAGAAAGACAAACCCCACCTTTGCTGGTCCGGCCAGAGGCAGGGTCTGGGCAGGGAGCAGAGTCTCTGGGAGATGCTCTAAGATATGCAGAATTTCCTGAGGAGTCAAAGTGTGGTTCTTACTTCCCCCTTTCAGCACGCCAGAAGAAAGGCATTAAAACACAAAGTGCAGGAAGGAAAGTAAAGTAGAGGCACTATGTGCTGGATTCCCAGTAGTGCTTGCTGTGATGGGAATTACCTTGCTGGATAGAAATGCTTCTCCCCATCAGGGAGAGCACTGATTTTCCTCTGAAAAACAGCAAGATTCATTTCGGCAAGCAGCAGCGAGCTGTTTTCAAGACCTGCTGCTCTGGTGGAGGTGAGGAGAAGGGAAACAAAAGGAAGATGGGAAGAAGGAAAAGCTTCACTGCTTCCCATCCCCTGTCAGGAGGATTGCCACTGAGCCAGCACACACTTGTCCACCCATCCCACTTCTGGGGAGGGCTTGACAGCCGCAGGCACACCAGCAGTGAAGGTTGCTGCTCCTTCCCCTGAGAGCCCACTGTTACACTCAATCCTCGAGCGAGCGTTCTTGCTTCCCAGTGGAACACTGCTTGTCTCAGGTGCCTTTGGGGTCTTCCACAGGGACCAGCTCTGCCCGCATCCTCCCTGCTCCTCTGAGACCCCCGGCAAGGAGTCCTTCTGTGTCGGGAGGCAGCCCCTTCCTTCCACCGCAGCAGGGACCCCCCATGGCCATCTGAGTGGGGGTATCAGCCAAGCACGACACAGATCCTGCCTATTTCCCCTTGTTCGCCCCGACCCAAGGTCGCTCAAGGGGCTGGGAGAGCACAGTGCTGGGTGCCCCTACCCTCTCCTCCTCCTCCTCGCTCACCCTCGTATGCGATGAGACGGTAGGAACCCGCACACTCCTTGGAGCCTTTCAGGATCTCCTCCAAGGTCCTGTAGAAAAGCTTGGCCTGCTCCAGGCGGTCCTCCCGGCTGAAGGCAGCACACTCGTCCTGGGACATGGCGTAGAGGGACTGCAGCGGGGTGGCATACTCCACGGCGCAGTGCCAGAGCTGCAGGGACGGAAGAAAAAGACATGGGGACAGGAGGACCAAGCACCTGGCAAAGAGCTGTCGAGAGACCCCGGCCCTGAGCAGAGCCCTCGAGACCCCTCGGCGGCTCCTTGGCCTGCCCTGCACTGGTGCTGTGTGCTGGACCACTGGGACAGGGACAGT